AAATTCTGGAGGGGAAGTGATGCTTGGAAGATGAGATGATACACAGAGTAAGTTTCCCATTTTTGTTATAGCTTTAGTCTGAGAGAAGCCCACAATCAATGCTGTGCAATACTGTGCGGGTAGCTATGGAAAACTTTGGTCTTTCTGGCCTGAAGAACTGGACGTCAACCACAGACGCTAGGAAGTGAACACAGAATACCATAAAGGTGAGAGAGAGAACTCCCCCACACACATTCTGTGTAAAAAAACTCTGCCCAAATCTCCAGACTTGTGTGAGGCAGACCACAAGCATCTCAGCTAAAGATAAAAGAACTGAACTGAAATTTGAGCTGCCCACCAGGGAACAGAGTTTGCAGGTTGAGTACAAACAATTAAATTGCAAAATCAAGAGTTTTTTCTTCTTAGTTGCGTTTTGGTGGTTTGTGGTTTTCAAGGAATTGGTTCATGTCCTATAAGTTATTGAATATACCTAGAGATATTTGTAGTATTCCCCTATTATACTCCTAATGTCTGTGGGGTCTATAATGATATTCCTTTTCCTGACATATAACTTGTATCTTCTTTCCTTAATTTGTCAATCTGTCTAGAGTTTATCAATTTTATTGACCCTTTTAAAGAACCAGCTTTTAGTTTGATTAGTTTTCTCTATTGTTTTGTTTTCAGTTTTGTCGATTTCTGCTCTTTATTTTTTCTTTGCTTGAGATTTATTTTGCTCTTTTTTTTAGTTTCTTAAGGTGAAAGTTCATATTGTTGATATGAGACCTTTCTTATTGTCTAACATAAGCATTTAATGTTATAAATCTCCCTGGAAGCACTACTTTTGCTGCATCCCATAAATTCTGGTACATTGATTTTCATTTTCATTCTATTCAAAATATTTTCTAATTTCCTTTGAGACTTCTTTTTGACCAATAGATCAAAAGTGTGTCAAGCAATTTCCAAGTATTTGGGGATATTCCAGATATCCTTTTGTAATTAATTTTAATTTAATTTCATTATTAAAAGAGATCATACTTTGTCTTTTTAAATTGTTGAGATTTGTTTTATAACCCAGGATACGGTCTACATGTATGTTTCATGAGCACTTGAAAAGAATGTGTGTACTACTGTTGTTGGCTGGAGTATTCTATAAATATCAATTAGACCCAATGGTTGATGATATTATTCAGTCCTTTTGCATCTTTGTTGATTTTCTGATTACTGAGAAAGTATTGAACTATCTAACTATAATTGTGGAAATGTCTGTTTCTCCTTTCAATTTTATTAGTTCTTGCTTCACATATTTTGAAGCTCTGTTGTAAGGTGCACAAAAATCTTTTTTTTGATTATGTAATGTCCCTCTTTCTTTCTGGTAATCCACCTTGCTCTAAAGTCTACTTCATCTAATATTTATATAGACAACAAAGTTGTCTTTCAATCAGTGTTTACATGGCACATCTTCTTCTATTCTTTTCCTTTTCACTTATCTAAGGTGAGTTACTTAAATGTAGCATATAGCTGAGTCTTGTTTTCTTTTTTTAAATTCAATCTGAAACACTCCATCTTTTAATTGGTGTGTTTAGATTTAATGTTATTATAGATATGTTGGAATTTAGGACTACATTATATTGTTTGTTTTCTATTTGGTCTTTCTATATTTGTTCCTCCATTTCCCCTTTCCTTTTTTAAAAAAATATATTTTATAGTATTACATTTTAATTTAGCTGTTGGGCTTGACTGGATCTTATTATGTAACTTTTTTTTAGTAGTTGCTCTAGGATTACAATACACATACTTAATTCTTCTGTTTACTAGAATTACTATTTTACAACTTCAAGTAGAATGTAGAAATCCTACCACTATATAGGTTCCTGTGAACTCCCCTCTTTATACTGTGGTTATCATGTGTATTATAGGAAATGTAAATTTGGCTTATAACATATTTTTAAGATCTTAAGAGGAAAAACTTAGTGTTATATTTGCCCAGATGTTTACCATTCCTGTGGTTCTTCCTTCATTCCATGTTTCCCTATGGTATCATTTCCCTTCTATCTAAAATACCTCTGTAGCATTTCTTTTAGCACAGGGCTACTGGCAAAAAGTTGCTTATTTTTCCTACATGTTAGGATGGTTTCATTCCCATTTCATTCCTGAAGAATATTTTAGCTGGATATAAAATTCTGAATTGACAGATCTTTTCTTTCAGGACTTTAAAAAATGCTGTTTCACCACCTTTATGCATCCATGATTTATAATGAACCTGTATGTAATGTGTTGTTTTCCTTTAGCTGACTTCAAGATTTATCTTTGGCTTTCAGCAATTTGTGCATTTAGGCATGGATTTCTTTGAGTTGATCTTGTTTAGGATTCACTAACTTTCCTGAACCTGTAAGTTTAAGTCTTCTTTCATTTTGAGAAGTTTTCATCCATTATTTATTCAAAAAAACTGTCTGTATTACACTCCTCTCCGAGATTGTAATGATATAAATTTTTAGACTTTTGGGTATTATCCCAGTCCCCGAGGCTTGTTTTGCTTATGTTTTTTTCTGTTTTTTTTTTTTTTTTTCTTTTTTCTCTCTGTTGTTCAGATTAGATAATTTCTACTGATCTATCTTCAGGTTCATGAACTCTTTCCTTTGACATCTCCATTCTTCTATTGAGCCCATCAAGTGAATTTTTTACTTCAGTTATTGTGTTTTTCAATTTAGTTATTTTTTTAGCTTTATTTCTCTGCTGATATGTTCTACCTTTCCATTCATATCCAGAGTGTTCCCCCTTAAATAGTTGCTATAAAGTCTTTGTTTGATAGTCTCAACATCTAGATCATCTTGTGGTTGTTATTTGATAATTGTCTTTTCCCTTACAAGTTGTTGAGATTGTCTTGATCTTCATATATCGAGTAACTTTGGACTGTAGCATTATGTTATGAGATTTTCAGTCCATTTTCTGTCCACACCCAGTGCACATCCCTAGGATTCACAATGTTTGAAACCAGGCTGGATGATATGGAAGAAAAAAACTATGAAACTCATTGTTGGGTCATTCCTACTTTAAGTTTTGGTTTCTTTCTCCTATTGCCTGCTCTTTTTTACTTTTAAGAATCCTCAGATAGCTGCTCCATGAAGTATTTCCAGGTATTTTTTGTTTTGTTTTATTATATTCAGAGGGTGAGACACCATGTTATCTGGAACCAGAACCAACTACATTAAATGTTAATGAACTATTTGCTATAGTTAAAAGGCAGAACTTATCAAAAAAAATTTTTTTAAGTACCAACTATATGCTTTTTATAAGAAATGAGCTTTAAATATAAAGACATAGTTTGAAAGCAAATTAATATATATCACATAAAGAAGAAGCTAGGCTAAAATTGACTTCAAGACAAAAAGTATTACCCGTAGAAACTATATTTTATAAAGGTAAAAGGGCCCATTCACCAGAGAGACATACAATTATAAATGTGTATGCACCTAATTAACAGAGCTTCAAAATACGTGAAGCAAAAACTGACAAAATTAAAGGGAGAAACAGACAATTTCATAAACATAACTGGAGACTTTCACACTCCTCTCTCAATAATATATGTGAAAAGGAAAAAAATTAGTAAAGACACAGATAATCACAATAACCATCCTGACCTAATTGACCTAATTTATATTTATAAAACACTATACCCAACAACTGCATAATGTGTATTTTGTACACCATGATAGACCATATGCTAGGCCACAGAATAAGTCTCAGTAAATGTTAAAGGACTGAAATCATACAGAGTATGTTCTCTGCTGTTCAGATTAGATAATTCTCTGAGTTCCATGAAATTAAATTAGAAATCAATAACAATAAGGTATCTAGGAAACAGCCAGATACGTGGAAATTAACACACTAAATAATCCATGGGTCAAAAAATAAATCACAAGGGAAATTTGGAAATGTTTCAAACTAAATGATAACAGAAAATGTGGAATAATGTTCCTAATAAATCAAGTAAAAAGTGGATTAAAATAGAAGATATACAGTATTAACCTATTTTTATTTTTAAAAATAAGCTGTGTATGTATACATAGAAATATGGCTATGAAGAATTGCTAACAATAACACATTTTACTTTTGCAATTTAAAAAATTTTAACGTTAAGTGAGTCCTGAGTGCTTGTTATGAGTGATTTTTCTTTCTTTTTGCTTACCTACATTCTCCAAATGCTTGACTGAACATTTGTTACTTTTATTTCAATAATTACATATATTTTTTTTTTAGAATTTCAATGCATTTTAAAATTTTTATCTGATTTTTTTTCCCCATAATCTCCTACTCTTTATTTAGGTTTATGACAGAAGACATCCAATTTGGTAGACACACATGTTCTACAACTGGATGTTACTTTGATTTATACATACAACATAGGTGTGACTGATATGGGAGATGACAGAGAGAGGAGGAAAACTGCATGGGAAAAACACATGTCAAATCTTGCTAACACTATGGGTCCTCTCTTCATTTTTGCTAGTTATTTCCTCTTCCTATCCTCATAACTAGCTTCATATGTCTTTAATGTTTAAATATCTTATTCAGCATTTCCAGAGTTTGGGAGTGGAAAGTGGAAATTCTTAATCTGCTCAGTGTCTTTTTGACCAGTTCTACATATAACTTTTCTAATAAAAAATAACCAATAATAATATTATCACAAGATAAATGAAAGAAGCAGCAGCAATAGTCAAAGAACTCTGTCTCCATGTTCCCATGAACTCTGAGAAGGACAGTAATCCCAATTTAAGAATATTAGTAAGAGCTGAAAAAACGGTGAGAATTACAAATCTGAAATTGTCCTTCAAAAATCATTACCCTCTCACAATTATACAGCACTTTGCTCATCTCAAAAAATAGCTTACAATATTACAATGTTTTTAGTTTAAATAAAACTAAATCTTTACTAATAATTCCTCGAAAAAACATTTATCATACCCACATTATATCTACACAAAACATTTTTCATTTTGATATTATTTAAATGATAAAATTACCTTTGTGTTTATCCAGAAGCTTGTAGCCTTCACAATATCTGCTTGGTGAAATCATCATCTTGGCTGTGTCAATATAAGAGTATGTTGCCGCAAAATCAAACTCCTTTTTGCCATCCCACCAACCTTTCTGTTTAGCATAGTTTCTCATCTCTGGGTGTTCTCGATCAATTTTGGTTGTTATAGAAAGCTGATTAGAAATATTACGAACTCCCCCTATTTTCAAAGAATAGGGTAAGGGAAAAGAAAGTCATATTTAACGTAATGTAGCTATCTCGACATTATAATTCATAATCTCTATTTAAACATAAACATACGCTTCTAAATTTTGTACCATATGCATCTATTACATATTCAAAAAGACAAATGGATTACTTTTTAAACTTTTTATTTTAAGATAATGATAGATTCACATACAGTTTTAAGAGGTAGTAGATCCTGTGTATCCTTTACCCAGTTTCCCCCAATGGTAACAACTTGTATAACATCACAAGCAAAATACTGGTATTGATATAGTCTGGATGTAGAATATTTTCATCATGAGGATCACTCAAGTTGTCCTTTTATAGTCACATTCCCTTATCTCCCACCCCTATTCTTTCATTAACCCCAGACAACCACTAGTCTGTTATCCATTTCTCTGTCATTTAAGAATGTTATAGAAGTACAAATTAGTAGTTACGAACAGTCACAGGGATTTAGAGTATAGCATAGGGTATACAGTCAGCATTATTGTAATGCTTGTGCATAGTGCCAGATGGGTGCTAGAATAATCAGGGGGATCATTTCATGGATTGTATAAATGTCTAACTTTTTAAAATTAAAAATAAAAAAAATAATTTAAAAAAGGATGGTATACAAATAGAATTATACGGTATATAACCTAATGTCTTTTTCATTCAGTGTAATTCTCTAAAGATTCATTCAGGTTATTATATGTATCAATAGTTCATACTTTTTTTATTGCTGAGTAGTAGTCTATGGTACGTATGTACTAATTTGTTTAGCCATTCACAAATTAAAGGATATCTGGGTTGCTTCCAGTTTTTGGCTATCATGGAAAAAGCTGCTATAAATATTCATGTAGAGGTTCTTGAGTGAATGTAAATTTTTTATTTCTCTGGGATAAATGCACAATATTGCAATTGCTAGGTTATATGGTAGTTGCATGTCTACATTTTTTAAAAACCTGCTAAACTGTTATCCAAAGTAGCTGTACATTCTTATTAGCAATGTCTCAGCGATCCAGTCTCTACATTCTCGCCAGCATTTGGTGGTGTCATTTTTTAATTTAGCCATGCTAATAGAGTTATGGTGATATCTCATAATGATTTTAGCTTGCCTTTCTTTAATGGCTAAAGATGTTGAATATGATTTAATGTGTTTTTTTGACATCAGTATATCCCTTTGGATGAAATGTCTCATGTCTTTTGCCCATTTTTCTAATTGGATTTTTTTTTTTTATGTTGAGTTTTGAGAGTTTTTTATGTATTTTAGATATTAGTCTTTTGTATAAACTAGTTTTTAAAATAGTTATAAATAAGTTTAGAACAGAAATATAAGGCTTCCAAAAATATCATGGTACTAAGTTATAAACAAAATATTCAACTGAAATACAAAACAGAAGAAACAATAGAAGCCTGTGCTAAAGAGATCATAATAAATGAAATATATTATGATAAATTAAAATTGATAATTTTTTAAAACATATTTAGCATGACAGTCTGCCAAGCAAAAGTCAATTAAATTGATTTCTTGAGATAGTCACTATGAAAACCAGACTTAAGTCATGATAGAATCAAAGACATAAAAGAAGAATTTTCTATAGTGAATTCTCTACAGTTTAACTATTTACTTTTTGGGTTCATTTAGTAAAGAAAGAGAAACCAGCTGGCAAAGTTAATCGACAGCTGGAGAATTAGACCCAATGAAGGTGTTCATTTTGGATGGGTTGGTGAGGCTATCTTTTTCAAAAGAATACATTTATTCATTTCTCCCTTTCGTGTAGCACATTTAATAAAATAAAAAGTTCTTAATAGGACAATCGGGCCAATTATCTCAATAAGAAAAATATTCTAAATCCAATTATGTGTATTAGTAAATATACATGCAAAATATAAAATAAAATGTCCATCAAAACAACTGGCAATGACCTACTGTGAAAAATAACATCCAAATCCTCCAAAGCTTGAGGTTGTGTTCATGAAGCCTTTCTGAACTCCTCCAGCTCACAATGACTTTCCCTTTCTCTAAATGTTTACAGTATCTGTGTGTCTGTATCATTCATGCACCATTTAATATTTTCACATGAGTATCTTATCTCCCTAGTAAAACCAGGCAATCCAGGAGGTTAAGTGCACAAGAAGTATGTGATTGTGCTTGAGCACAAGGCTGTACTCTAGTGAAAGAACATTGAACTAACTGAGTCAAGATGGGAAGATTTTAATTCTAAGTCTTTCACTCACTGCCTTGAGTAATTCACTTCACATATCTAGATTTTCTCACTTGAAAAATGAAATATATGATCAACATATTCTTTCCAACCACTAACCCACAGACACCCATCCCCAATACCACTCCTTTCTCCTCACCTCCATACCCACACATGATAAAATTTTAGAGTTCAGCCCAAAGTTCAAAGAGAAAAATATGGTAAGGAATTATTAAAAAGTAGAAAAGCACTATAAACAGCTAACAGCTATTGTACAAAAAATATATAAGGTTATTTAAAATTCATATCATATGAAAGAGAGAATATCACCTTTTTCTCTTTGTCAAGAAAGCTCTCTATAGTGCTCTTTCATTGTATGTTCTTTCAAAATTTTTCATTTCCCTTGCAGTTCAACCCTTCATTGCACTGGATTATAAATCTTGAAAGACAATTAAATGCAATGTCTGCAATTATTAATTGTAAAAGAAATGATGGAAAGTTTTCATACCTTGTACTTTTTCTGCGGCCCAGTACTTCCCTGCAGTCTCCAAAATCCAGGCTTCTTTTCTATCAGCTATCAGGAAACTGTTGTGATAGCTAAATACCATCCCACCCTCTGAACAATTTCCACCCTGGCCATATTTATCTAATAAATCAACAATGACATCGAGGGCTTTTTCAGCTGTATCAGCTCTTTCAAGGCCAAGCCTAAAATAAAAATATTACAGTTTTCAGATTAAAATAACTTTCCATTATCTTAAATGATTTAATGCATGTGAGATTTTGTGATCATATCCAAGTAAAAATTCCTTCAAGTTAATAGATATACTGAAATCTATCTTCAAAACTATTTCTTCTGAAGTCAGTTTGGAATTAGAAACAAAGTTTTCGGGGTCAAATAGATGAATGTTCAAATTCCAACTTGTTATTTATTGGCAAGTTACTTTATCTCTGAACCTCAGGTATCTCACCTGTAAACTGGGGATAATAATATATACTCCATGAGGTTACTCTGAGAATTAGTTAAAATCTGATAAAATATGTTAGGTACTGCCAATGAATCATAATTTTCAACCTTTAGCCTTCTCCTAATTAATATTTGAGAGTCTTTACATTGCATGCCTGTATTTTGAAGCATTTTTGACACTATTAAGCATCAAAGTCCAAAAAAATTTTTTTAATATAACAGAAAAATAACCTGACAAGGTCCATGCCCAGTAGTGCCTCTTCATCACAAACTTCTTCTTTTCCCCACACAGCTTCATTCCCAATGCAAACTCCATGCTCATTGGCTCCCATTTCTGCTCCCCATAACCAAGCTGGGCGACTGAGGACAACAGCATATGTTTTAGGAACTTGATCGATTTCTATGTAAGTACACTGTAAAGAAAGTCATAGCAACAACCATAAAACCAAAAAAGAAGTTATCAAAGTCCAGAATTTTCAATATCAATCAGAAGACATGACCATTATGAGAAAGATAAAGGAAGTATAACTATATTGAAAATTTTAATAATAAAGGCATTATTCTTAAAACATATTCAGAATTGACCCTAAAGCATTTATTCATTCAACTATGTGCTGAGCATCTCCTATTATAAAGCATTCTGCTAAGAAATGTTAGTTACAAAGATGAATCAGACACAGATCTTGCTTTCAAGAAATTAAGATTTGTACATTAACTAAGATACGACAAAATATAAAGGATAAGGGCCATGAAGAAAAGTGAAGATGAGCTAATGGAAGCTCAAGAGAGAGATGGTTTCCAGTTGTGAAATCTTGAAACATTTTGTATAGGAAAATATATGTGAGTTGAAACTTAAAGAAGCAGTTCTCAATCTCAATGTCCAAGATTAATCTTTAGTTAGTGATATAAGTCTCATATGGTAATCCTTAAACACAGGGTATTGTCATAGAAGCCCATGTCACATGTGGAAGTCACCCATCTGGTATGCCTGCAGCAGTGAAAATAATGAGAACCACTGGTTGACAGAAAAGGCTACATTTAAATATGAAGAGATAAAAGTGGAAATGGATCCAAGATGAATTAACAGTCTCAGCAAAAGAAAAAATGGCCTAGTATTAAGAAAACATCTAACGTAATAAATTTTAGTATTAGAATATCAATTAAATGAAATCTAAGAAATATATGTTAGCAATAAAGCATAATGTGGAACTTTTACAAGTTCTAGGTTAAAGGATTTTTAATACAAATTTTAAAGGATCCTTTAATTAACATGTATTCTATCAAATGACTGTATAAAATGCATGTTGATAGTGTTATCACTGGGCCCAATAAAACTATTCCTAGATGATAAAACCAGTATTCCAGAGTCTGGAATGACTTTTCCTATTCTACACCAATCATAATTCTTTTTGTCCATCAAACTTCAGCTGAAATCCCAACTCCTCCTGAAGTCTTCCTTCATCTCTAGTCTGAATTAATTGTTCCTTCTCCGCTTCTGTCATAGCATGGTGCTCTTAAATTTAGCATTAAAATCACCCTACTTTATAATGAGGTTAGTTGCATACGCATCCTATTCCTCTTCTTGACTCTAAGCTTGACAACAGGATTTAAATCCCTGCCTTATTTAACATGTTTACATATGGAAAGCATTCAAATATTTGATCAAAGAATTAACAATTATTATTATTATTATTTCAGCTGCCTCTAAATCATTGAAATAAAAGATCAGAAGTCTAGTTCTGATTCAAATTAATTTTCAAATTTAAATTCTTGAGTTTTTAACTTCTATAGTCTCTGCCAAATAGCTAGCTAATGATAAAAATAACGGTTTATGATATTTTTAAAGAAACATTGCTAATAAAACTTTATTTCACCCACCTTAAGATGTTCTTTTAGGTTATCATGAACCGCAGCAGGGAAAAAAACTACCTCTTGTACTTCATCACAGAGTCTATCTGAATTTTTTCCAAAAATAATCCTATTTTCAACTGTTGCTGGAGGTAATGCCACAAAAGTGTCACAGGAACAAGGTTCCATTTCTTTGTTAACTGAAAATCATATAGAAGATTCAAAACAAAAAGAGAAAAACATTTTAAGTATATACAAAACAAAGAGTTTTATTTCATGATGACGGGATATTATTGCCGTATCTAATAAAAGCTGTTTTCTTTAAAGTTTTAAACTTCATATACTATCGTAAAAGATCAGTATGATCTGGGAACAAATCTTGTACTTCAAGAATCAATAATAAAATGGCAAGTACCTTCTTCTATAGGTCAAATTTACCCTCTAAGATCTTTTTCTCCTCAAGTCTTCCCTGAGTCATCTTTGACTATTTCCATATTAGGGAATCTCTATACCTAGTTCTACTATCATAAAGACCATATTTCACTATATTTATCTTCATATGTGAGTCCCCCTACTGGACTGTGAAATCCTTGAGGGCTGAGAGTATCTTATTCTTTGTTTTCTCATTACTGGAACTCATCTTATGGAAAAGTACCAGTATTATGTACCCAGTATTTCCTAAAAGAAGAAGGGTCTCCTTTGAGCTGGAGAAGAATACACACAGAAGAATACACACAGATAATACTGATAAGACTGACATTTTCAAAAAGACTTAATCAGACAAATATGAAAAAATGTCAGTAAAACTGATATTTCCAGGAGGAAGTTCACATATATAATCTGTAAATACTGGTCGTAGAATGTAATATCAAGATTGTGTCTTCATTTGTAATTCAGAAAAATCTTAGATCCGAACTTTTTGTAGAACATTTAAGCATCTCATACTTTTTATTTGCTTCCGGAATAAACACATTGTTTTACAGTTTATTTTATAATGCCCAAACCATTGAATGGCTTTATGCAGGCATCTTAAAAACAAAATTTAAATCTAATAAATGTTTCATTAAAAAGAAAACAAAATTATTCAAATAAGAAACAATTTCAGCTTGAAACCCTAAGTTTTTCTCTCTTTTCTTCAGTGATGGAGAGAGGTCATGAGTGCTTCTGTTCTTTTCTGCGTCTATTTCAACCTTTATTTCCTGGGTTGCCTTTTATTTGTGTTCCAAAGTTAGTTCCACCACCACATAACCTTGGCAAGCTATTCAATCTCTCTCTAACCTCCTGTCCCATTGGTAAATATCTCTTTGGGCTATTATGAGAATTTAGTAAGACAACGTGTAAAACATTTTGCACAGTGCGTAGAACATAGAAGACACTCAAAAGAAAGCTGTTATTATCATTTGGCAGACAGGTAAATTTCTCACAAAAGGTATCACACATACGCACACCCGCAAGAGGACTTGGTGGATCCCCTATTACAGTAGCAGCCACGTTCACGCAAAACCCTGGAGTCTCAAGGGCCTTCGAGCTGCACCTACCATTCAACAAATAACTATCGAACATTTTTCTGTTCCGTGCACCGTACAGCTGGTAACAAAACACAGTCCTCGCTCTTGTAGAATTGACATTCTATTTTACATGCTTTAGTTCACTAACTGCTTTCAGAAACATCTTCACAAACGTGCTACAGAGGGCGAGAATTACTATTTTCATAACACAAATGAGAAAATCAGTGCAGAAAAGTTTGGGCGACTCGAGTCAGAGTTCACAGAGTAAAGGGCTCGAACTTGAAACACCCTGTGCAGAAGAGCCTCCCCCCAGGCTGTACTCTACACCCCAGTCGGGAGGCGTTCAGACTGCAGCTGGAGCAGCTGTGACCTGAAGCCTTTCCCAGGAGCCCCGCGGTCCCACCGCGCCGGTCTTCCTACTTCCAATCTCAACTATACACGCCCCTCCACCATGCACGCCCCCTCACCTGGCCTCAGAGTGTAAAGGGAACCAACCGAGCGTAGAGGGGCCGGTGAAGGCGTTAGTTGCCGGAAGCTGTTACCTTTGACCCCGGAAGTCCCCTCTGCCGCGGCGGGCGCAGTTCCGGTTAGGCGGCGGAGTTTGTTTACATTGTTCAGGGATCTAGTGGCTGTCTTCCCCAGCTCGACCTCCAAGATGGGGAAATCCTTCGCCAATTTCATGTGCAAGAAGGACTTTCATCCTGCCTCCAAATCCAATATCAAAAAAGTGAGTACGAGGAGCAGGGGAGGGTGCTAGCCCTTGGCGCCTGGGTTCCTAGGGTCTGTTGGAAGTGAGAGTAGTGTTCTCTCTAGGATCTCTAGGAGAGCCGCTTCTTCTCCACACCTAAAGCCCCTTCTTCCCCACTGAGACTCGCTGACACAGCCGCCCCTCGACGTTTATTCTACATCTACAGGGAGACGGGCGTCCCTCATTTGCTCTGTTGGTTCTGTCAGCAAGAATGTAAATCCGTAGGATATGAAGACATTGATAATAGGGTTCCTCATTTCAGCAGATTCTGGTTTTCTCTTTTCAGGTCCCGGGCGTCACAGCTTCTGTGCGCTGCTATTCTGTACAAAGAAAACTCCCTCTTTATTTAAGATAAGATAGATTTTAAAGGAAAATGCCAACTCCGCCCCCCCGCTTCCTCTTTTTATTTTTTTAATTTATTTTTTATTATAGAGACATTGGTTAACAAAATCCAGTAAGTTTGCTTCCTCTTTTTATCCCACTCGCTAATGTAGCGTCTGTGTGATGACCTACTTGAAGTTTGGCTTTTTAAGTAGTCAATTATGTGTTTACCAAGTGCAGTACGGAAAAACCATGCTTAAATAGCAGTGGAAAGCAGAGGTGAAGTAGAAAGACTGAGCTTTGGAATAAGACCTAGCTTCTAGTTATTTCAGCACAGTCACTTTTAGCCTTGAGACCTTGCACAAAATACTTAATATTCCTTATCCCACTTTCCTAATGTGTAAGTTAAGAATGATCAGTATCAGTTGCCTTGACTTGTGAAATTATTAACGAAGTTGCCTTGATTTGTGAAATTGTTAACGATTAAGTAAGATGGTGTAGATAAAAACTCTGAAACAAAGTACTACCTAACACTGTGACCACCACATAGAGGAGATACTCAATAAAATGTTAACTACTTAGACACATGTATTATTCCTCAATAAAATGTTAATTGCCCCTACACACATACTTACCTAAAATACAGGTGTTACCCACAGTTTCATCCTTGGCCTCTATATGCTTTCCCAAGCATTCACATCCAATTTCATGGTTTTAACTACCCCCTCTTCACTCATGACTCAAATATACAGCCCCAGATCTCTCCCCATTTTTCCAGGCACCTCAAGACCATTATCTACTAGACAGTTTCATCTTGATATCCTACAGGCATCTCAAACTCAACATATCTAAAGTGGAACTTATCTTTCATATGAATTCTGTTCTTTATGCTTCCTATCTCATATGTGTAGGAAATATAGGTAGTAACACCATCCTTTATGCAGTCACCCAAGCCAGGAATTCAGGATTCATCCCTTTCCTATCACTCCTTTATCTAGTCAGCTAATAAATTCTATTGGTCTTACCTCCCAAATATCTCTTGAATCCTTCTCTCTTCTTTGTCACTGCTGTCTGTGTTTTAGCTTAGACTCTCATCATCTTTCACCTAGACTGTTATATTTCCTAACTCTGCCTCCAGTCTACATGGCCATCAGACTATTTTTAAAAATTATTTATTACTGTCACTGAGATGTAATTTACATACCATTCAAACACCCATTTAAGGTGCACAATTTAGCGGTTTTTAATGCCCAAACCATCACCCTCCCCCCCAAAAAAACACCTCATATCTATTTGCAGTCTCTCCCATTTGTCCTTAATGATCCCTCTTCTCCAGCCCTAGGCAACCACTAATTTGCTTTCTGTTTCTGTGGATTTGCCTATTCTGGACATCTCATGTAAATCACGAAAATTGTGGTCTTTTGTGACTGGCTTCTTTTGCTTAGCATAATGTTTTCAAAGTTTATCCGTGTTGCACAATGTATCAGTATTGCAATCCTTTTTATTGCAGAATGGTTCTATTGTGTAGAGATAGCACATTTTATTTGTCCATTCATCAGTTGACAAATATTTGGGTTGTTTCTACAGAGTGGTCTTTTTGAAGCACAAAAATGATCTTTTCCCACTCCTTATTAAAATACTACAGGATTAAGTCCAAGTAACCTAGCTTCAATTTATTTTTCCATCTTCATCTCCTGCCATTCTCCCACTTCACATTCTATACTCCAGTAATATAAAACTGCTTAATTCCTATTTTATACCTTTGAGCCTTTCTTTGAATTGCTCCCTCTGCTAGTAATATCATACCCTGTTTTTTCCTTGGCAGAATTTTGATCCACTTCAAAACCCTGCTTAACCTGTATGAAGCTACTTGAACAGGGTTATCTGTTGCAGATAAGTTTATAATAGCAAAAAATTGGAAATTTTGTTAATGCCCATCAGTACAGCAGGAGATTGGTTAAATAAATGGTGGTATGGCCCCACAATAGAACGATATTCAGCTTCCTCCCTCCCAAAATACAAAAAAGCTTTTCGTTTACTGATCTAGAAATTATTTCCATGGCAGAGAATTTTATACACATTCTGTGTGTGTGTCTGTGTGTGTGTGTGCGCGCGCGCACGCACGTGCATGTGCACATGCACTATGTGTTACCATTTATAAAAAGAAAATATTTGTGTGTATGTTTGTTTTATATATATTCTTTCAGTATGTTAGCATTAGAACATCTTTGGGAGGATATAGATACACAAGAAATGGATAACATTGGCTACCTGTGAATATAGTTAATTGTTAAAAATAAATAGCTTTTAAAACCAAAAGTTGCTATAAAGCATTTCATTATTTGAGCCTTTCTTCTTGCTCCCTAAAGTTAATCACTGTCTTGTTCTATTTCTTTATCTTGTACATAGCTCTGTTATCCACATATCAGACTTTGTTTTATTTACTTATACAGTTCATATCTTTTTTATTATAAAGAGCTTACACATACAGAAAAGTTAGTGTGATTTTCTGTTAGCAGATTCTGAGCATTTCGAAGGTAAAAATATATTTTGTTACTTTTTATTCCAGTCCTTAGTAAATACTCAATATATATTTAAGCTCTTAAGCAATTGAGATAGTAAAATAACTTTGTAAAATCTAAAGCAAATTAAAGGTAGTGATTCTGTTAGAAGTAATATATTATTCATTAGAATATTATAACTACTGTGTTATTCTATCAGGCAGTGACACCTTGTATTTCTCTGTTACACCTGTTTGCATTTCGAGCTACAGTGACAATTCCAAACATGTCTAGGTTTTTCTTTAACATTATACTGGTGAGTATGAAGTCAGCGGAAGAAATTTTCAGAAACTTATGCCAAAAGAAATTTCTGCTATATTCTGTTCATGAAGGGTTCTCTTTTCATTTCAGTTTTTGCTTTTATCTCCATACTGATCTGTCTTGTCCACAACTTAAACTGTGTCCCCATAGAACCTTCCTATCTCATCACTACTAAAATACTAATAACTACCCCTTTTTTCCTTCTAAAATTTAATAATGGCAGTCTTGTCCCACATCCTCCTCTTATCTGCCCCCACCCAAGGTTAATAATTATAATTTATCAGTGTATTTATCCTAGAATTTACCTTCTTAAAACGGCATGTTTGGAGAGAAAATCTTGACTTATTTATGTCAAATGGTGGTCAAACGCTTTGTCCTTTATTCTAAAGGAAGTAAGAAGGCATTGATACCTTTTAAATCTAGAAGTAACATGATTAAATATCCTTGCATAAGTTGTGTGGGCTTTTTGCCTTCACCACTTTTGTGATTTTGAGAATTTCACATAGAGACACATTCAGCCTGTGGTGTGGGTGCCCTTGAGAGATCTGATGCATCTGTCTCTTATGTGCTTCCTCTCGTGTGTCTTCTCTTTTTTCTATGACTATCTTTCCTCTTTTCCTCTTTTCCTCTTCTTTGTCTTCTCTTTCTCCTCTCTTGGGGTGTCAGTGACTCCCATTGGCATCTGTAGGCATTGCTTAACCCTACTGGTTGTGCCCTCTGTGTTTTCAAGTCTCTATGTGTTCCATGTAGAGAGATGGTCGTTCTCCTCTCTGAAATAACACAAGGACTGTGTGCAAG